GGACCGGGGTACGAGAATTTTTCTGCTTCTTGTTGCTAGTCATTTTTGGAAACTGCAGTTGTTCCAAACGGTAATTGTTGCTACTCGTCATGAACAGGAAACAAACGCTGGCTAGCAATTAGCTGATTCTAGGTCTGCAGGAGCATGAGTCTGTGTTCCGAGCTCGTCTAGTGACTGCGATCTCTGGTTTTTTGCTGAATTTCTGTGCCACTGCTAGGAAGATTCTGTGGTCCTGTACCGACAAATTCATGATGATTGTATGAACCGAGCACGAAAAAAAACGTGCTTGTTAAAAAGCGGAATTGTAGCAGTCTCTCGACCATGAGATCGATTTCCACATAGGCCGATTTCCACCTAGGCTAATTGAACATGAAGTGCACTTTCCGGGGCGTAGGGCGCATTTATGAGTACGTTTGCAGAGACGCACGCGACAACAGAAGAAGCACAGCAGCTGCTTTTTAGTCTCTGCATATTTTTACACTTTCCACATATAGTAGATCAGTCGCATCATAAAATCAAACAAGGAATCAGCAAAAAGAGAGCAAAAACAGTTTCGGGCTTCAAAATTAAGGTAGTTCGAAAGTGGTGAGGTCAGTTGCTATAACTGGGAATCAGTCCGGGTGGGTTTCGCAGCTGTGAAAGCCCCTATCCCGTCACTTGTTAGACGCCCAAATGCCTCAAAGGTCGATAGGAAACGGGATGGTACCGCGCCCAAACCCATTGTCCCTGATACGCCCCTACTGAATTAAGTTGTACACTAGCCGACTGCACAAATTGTGCAGAGGTAGCGTAGTGGCAAGCGGCGTCATCACGTGTATGCTCCTGTGATCAACGCACATGGGTCGTATCCCGCTTAGAGCAATAAAAGGTCACATCAGTCTGGTGGACTGGTATCTGGCTCGCATGTAAGGGTGGGAACGCTGGTGTTGTTTACCCTCTGTTCAACTCAACACTTTTTTCCGAAACGGGAGCCTCTTCTAATTGGAGCTTTCCCAGGGGTAGAATTCGCCAAAACTTCGCCGTTGGTGGTGGCCTGATTCCCTTGAAGACGCCCGCTGGAAGCGAAAATTTTTGGCAAATTCGTGAGAACATATCTATGGCGAGGCGGAGGTGGTGTAGTGACAAGTGGCGCGCTTACCACTCGCGCGGCGCCGGGTTCGAATCCCGGGTCGACCCGCCCAGGCCAACCAAGCCTTCTACCCTCCGGGGACGGTAAATTGGTACCAGATTCGTCTGGGAGGATAAAACACTGACTTGTACATCGGCTGGCCACCGCAAGTCATTGTATAGGCCACATCGCATTCAATAAGCCTACGATTCTGAATGGAAGTAGAATGCGTGCCGCATCCCACAAAGGGATTGATCAACGGCGAAGACTTTATCCTTTATCCTTATCCTATGGTGCCAGAACCTCCGCTGCCGTGGAGAATTTTCAACGTCGGCACCCCTAGAGTAAGGAGCCTTCAATCGTTTGAGTTATATTGTGCGCGAGAACGAATAAAATAATTAGTGGACAAATACGTCGTGGTAAGAGGTATAGAAAATTACACGAATACTGTAGATTGCACGACGAGTCACGGAAATTACCGAGAAAAAAAATCAGCGCTCAGACTCCACGATGACGCGCGTCGAAGCGCTACAAAGCTCTACCATTGCAACCGCGCTCCATGCTATAGACGGGAATGGAGCATGGACGGGTATCGATTCGCGCTGGCCACTACTGCTCCGTGAAAAGGGCACATCGTTGTTGGGAAATCTCCAGTTGGAAGGGGGGGGTCGCATATGGCCGCCAGGAGAAGGCTGGGAGAAGTTTATTTTGATAGTTGGATTTTTCTCGCTTCACAGACGTTGGGGGCTCGCAGAGGAGGGACAGAGGGAAGGAGGAGCGATACCACCCCCCAAAAAAAAGGGGGGTCGTACAGACTTGACTAAAATCCCCAGCCAATTAAATGCCCTGTTCGACATAGGAGCATAGGGGGAGGGGTGGGCGTTGCTCGATCACACAATCTGCTGCTCCCCTATTCGCACATGCTCTATCAAAGCAGTAGCGGCAGGCGGCGATCGACACTAGTCTAGCAGTGGCTGCATTCCTCTCCATAGAATTAGAGCGCGGCTACAAATGTAGCACGTCATCACAGGCTCAGCTTTAGCAGAGCGCTAAATCGTAAATGAAGCTTCTGATTAGGTATCAAATAAGCCTACTGTGCAGGTTTTCATCAATTTTGTTGAAAAAATGTGGCGCCTAATCGGCTCCCAATGGGGCCAAGTAGCGTCAAAGCTAAAAATGAATGTCATGTTCATGGTTAGAGTACGAATAACCCTAGCAATTTTACACCGATTCTGGTGAGAAAATGTTGACGTCCAGTAACGCCACATGGCGCCAGCGTCACACTCTAGAGCATCGAATAATGCAAGCTTAGTTCCACCGAATTTTCCTCGAGTTCTTGGGGCAATAATTCTTGAGTAGAACCGTACTTTTTTTGTAAATATCAAATGATAATAATTCCAGTTAAGGCAGTTGGGCGTTCAGTGTATGACCAGCAAACGTTGAGTGAATTAGGCGCAGTTCGCCTTTGAGGAAGGATTTGTTATTACTCATCGACGAGAAGACTTGTAAAATCTAGTAAAGCGAAGAATAGGTCTCAGCGACGATTTAGCAGGTCGTGAAGTCCTACGAACTCTTATAAAGCCTATACTAGGTCGTCCGGGAAGTTTCGAGAAAATTCCGCTCGATCGTTTGACGGGTGTGGCCAGCGGATGCGCTAACAGGAAAACTTGTTCTGAAGGTTATAAGAAACAGAAGTGGATACTGTACATGTAGTACAATCCTTGAAACTCGGAAAAAAATCCTGCCGAAGCTTGGTCTGGACGGGTCATTCGACTAACTGATCACGAATGTTTCCTGATTCTTCTGATATACAGGGGGGGGGCAAAAAAAGTCATTCCGGCCGAGTCACATATGAGCGAAGTTTTCGCAGCCCAGACAGAGGAAGTGGATATGAGTACCAGGGCGGAAGATACCCAAGATCTTCCTCTATAAGCAGGAGCCGGCTGCCGCCATTCACCTTCATGTACACCAAAATATGAAGTCATCTCCAGTCGCGGCCTGAGTGGAGAACGCCTTTGGAATTCACGTGGCCTCCAAACAGCTGCGGAACTTCTTGAATGGAATCACCCATGGATAGCTACCTGGAGACCAGTACTCTTGATCTGCAAGACCTCAAACATCGAGCAGCTCCGGCAACGCTACGGTCCAGGACATCATCTTCACCCCATTCACCAAGGCGCGGGTTGATGGTGTGGACCGGCCGTACCTGGAATGGATGAACCGATATTTTCTTCGTGGGCCCAGACTGAGGGTGTGCGCTGGTGGCTACATCGAGCAACTCGAGGAGAATATCCCATCTTCATGTCGTCGCCCGTACCTTCTTGGAAACTTTGTACTGCTACAGGATTGGGTGACAACACATTTAATCGAAGGGCGTTGGAAAAACTTTCGCCTACTTGGAATGGAAGAACGTTGAGTACCTGGAAAAGATGGAGTATTTAAGCGGGGGTCCTGAACTAAACCCCCTCAATTACTCGGTTCGGGCGGAGCTCAACAGGGTGGTCTACAGTGGCGGAGAAATCAACGATCTCGCTCAACTCCGGTACCCACTCACTTTCGCGCGGCCGAATCTCTCGATGGCGCTCCTCCAGAAGGCTGTGGCGGAGTATCATTATAGTATTTAATGTGCTCTTTAATATGGTAGTAAAAATGTCCGATAAAAATTTAATAAAGTGTAACTTATAGCGCCTTGAAAGTCATGGAGGCAAAATGACTTTTTTTGCCCCCCCCCTGTATATTGTGTTTTTGGCGCAACTCGGCGCCAGTGTGGCGCCAGCACTTCTCAACCAAAATCGGTGTGAACTTAGATACTGAAGCTGTTCGATATCCTAAATAGGCGCTAATTTGATGTCACGCGTTGTTCACCAAAAGATGAAAACCTGCATCCATTAGCTTCGGCGCCGAGAATGAATGTCGTTTGTAACCAGCACCAACAACCCTCGTTTTAGCGCAGGCGTCTGTTGGCGAGGGCACAACTGTCCGACCGATGCTGATGCTCGTATTGCTTCATTTGCGAAGTGGAATATGAAACGAAGGGATTGATATTAAGCGGCTGTGCTGCTACATAGATATATGCGTGTACAGGGGGGGGGGCAAAAAAGTCACTTCGACCGAGTCACATATCAGCAAAGTTTTCGCTGCCCAGACAGAGGACGTGGATACGAGTACCAGGGCGGAAGATACCCAAGATGTTCCTCGATAAGCAGGAGCTGGCTCTCGCCCATCACCTTCATGTACACCAAAATATGAAGTCATCTCCAGTCGCAGCCTGACTGGAGAAGACCTTTGGAATTCATGTCACCTCCAAACAGCTGCGAAACTTCTAGTGTGGAGTCACCCATGGATAGCTACCTGGAGACCAGTACTCTCGATCTGGATGACCTCCAACATCGAGCAGCTCCCGACAACGTCGCCACGGTCTAGGACATCATCTTCACCACAGTCGCCAAGGCGCGGGTTGATGGTATGGACCGGACGTACCTGGAATGGAAGACCAATATTTTCTTCGTGGACCCCGGACTGAAGGTGAGCGCTGGCGGTTACATTGAGCACTCGTGAAGAATATAATATCCTCCTCACATGTCGTCGTCCGTACCTTCTTGAAAACTTTC